CACCAGAGAACCCGGGGCGCAGGACCTCGCGCGAGAGGAGGATGAGCGATACGAAATAATATATGTAAACTATCCCCATCAGCCAATAGATGACCATACACGTGTAAGGAGCGACTCTGAACACGAATTTTATATCTCTGAGCGTAGCGTCGAACATCGCCAACGAGCAGATGTCCAACCACCAGCCGCAGACTAATGGAAGTACGCCGATCTCCACGACAAAGAGCAAGGAGACCTTGGCAATTACGTAGCAGCGCCCTAGGATTCGCTGGGAGCACTGGAAACCTAACAGTGCGGCGAGAGTATAGAGAACCACCAGGCAAACTCCGATCACGCAGTAACCGCACAGCGTGGTCACCAGGCCCTCGATGCGCCACCAGGCCGCGTGCTTCTGCAGGCTCAGTCCCGCTATCTTAAAATGGCCGATGTGATACGGGCAAAAGGCGAACACCTGAAAAAGATAAAAGAAGATGATAAAAGAACAGAAGACACTAGCCTTGCGAAGTGCCACTATTTAAAAAAATTACACATTTATTAATTAACACATCTAGTCGTAATCTCACCATGATAAACAAGGTGTTTAAGGACACGATCCAGAAGACATGTTTAAGAAAGCCAAGAAACCCGTCCCATCCTAATAAATGTTCCCAGATTAGCTCTTCGGCTAGTCTGTCCCATTCCATAGGATTCCAATTAGCCTCCTCAACCTCAGCTAGATCCTCGGGTTCGCCAACTCGTGGATTATTGACCAAGTTTTCTGCCGCTTCTCGATATATCGGACGTTGATCTACGATGTAATTTAATCGAAAGGAATCATTAGTTTACGTTACAGTCAAATCTGTAGCGTTATTGCAACTTTATCGCTTTCCAAGGCATAAAAGTCTAACTTGTCTTCGGATCACCTTCATTATGTAACTCTTCTTCCTGCGGAATAGGCGGATTAATGAAGGGAAGGATATTATTGTAGTCCTGGACTTCTGGCGGCATAGCACGCTGCTCCTGAGGTTGCTGCGGGCGTTGTGCGTTTGCTTGTGGCGGATTGTCGTCATTGTCGACCGGGGGTAACTGTATATCCCTCTCGAGCCAATCAGGGCCGCCCGCGTGTAGAATTTGCTTGCGCAGCCACACCAGACCGATGAACGCGAATAAGATGCAGGTAACTACGAAACAGCCGTGAAACACGTCCGACGATATATTTTCGGTGGAGAGCATATCCATCGGTAATGACATTATCTGCAAATATAAACCATTGAACATTACATGCGTGCGATCACCTACGTCCAACCCTCATAATCTTGTTTTTATTATTTTTTACTTATATCCGCGGACTCTTCACCTTTGTTTATACACCAGATCATTAGCAATTTATAAATCTTTAATCGAAAACTTTTCCGGAATTGAATTTATCACGTCTCTCTCCCACTCACCCAAACTAAATCCAGCGGACCACTGAAGAGAGCTCTGTACGTGCGGCACGCGGTTAAAGGGACGACTCCCAGCCACGCAATCGCCACCAGCGTAAAATGCAACCAGTACTTGACAGCGGTGACGATGCTCTTCTTTTATCTTTTTCAGGTGTTCGCCTTTTGCCCGTATCACATCGGCCATTTTACGATAGCGGGACTGAGCCTGCAGAAGCACGCGGCCTGGTGGCGCATCGAGGGCCTGGTGACCACGCTGTGCGGTTACTGCGTGATCGGAGTTTGCCTGGTGGTTCTCCATACTCTCGCCGCACTGTTAGGTTTCCAGTGCTCCCAGCGAATCCTAGGGCTCTGCTACGTAATTGCCAAGGTCTCCTTGCTCTTTGTCGTGGAGATCGGCGTACTTCCATTAGTCTGCGGCTGGTGGTTGGGCATCTGCTCGTTGGCGATGTTCGACGCTACGCTCAGAGATATAAAATTCGCGTTCAGAGTCGCTCCTTACACGTGTATGGTCATCTATTGGCTGATGGGGATAGTTTACATATATTATTTCGTATCGCTCATCCTCCTCTCGCGCGAGGTCCTGCGCCCCGGGGTTCTCTGGTT